TATTTTTAAATTCCCCCCCCCCCCCCCCTTTCTTTTGAGGATCTTGTCTTTTAACTCTTTGTTCTGAGAATTGTAATGTGTTTGTTTCTGTCTACCCTCCCCCTTTTTGTTTGTTATTCATTTGTTGCCAGTATTTCATCTGTTTACTTATAGTTTAGAATTTAACCATCAGACTTTAATTATTGGCAGGCTCGTGCATTTTATGGGTTTCAGATAGCTATGGAGAATATTCATTCGGGTGAAATTTTGTAGTTGATGTATTCTCTTACTTAGCACAACGTCTGCTTTCTGGCTGATTTAATGTTTTTTTTTTCATCAGAGATGTACAGCTTGCTGCTGGAGACATATATTAAGGATTCAAGAGAGAAACATAGATTATTCAATGCAATTGAAAATTTGCCTTGTGTTGCAAGGAAGGCTGAATGGGCATTGGGTTGGATTCATAGGTGACAATTGATTATGCTCCCACTCTTTATAACCTGTGAAACAGGTCTGTTAACATTCATTGACTGACATAATGGGCTAGCTTGCTAGTCCAAAATACATTGGAAAAATCAGAATTCAAAACATGTGTAGCAGAGGATAGGAATATAGTATATTGAAAGGAAAGAAACCAGAAGAAAAGGCAAAGGAAAGAAGATAAAATTTGTTGTGTAGTGGTGTTTCCCAAGTGTAAGCAACATAAAAGTCATTTGAAACCCAAGCATTGTTGTTCTAGAATCAGAGCGAGACCATTGGCTCAAACTTAAAACTTGTCCCTTTAAAAGAATTTTTAAGAACCCAATTGTACCCAGGGCTCTGAATATTGTTGATTCATATTATTCTGTTATCTTTTATTCACATGTTTGTGCAGAAATTAAGCACAGAATTAATACATGTGTATGGACAATATGTTTGGAGTTACCTAATCACTAATTAAAAAACACAAAATCATTAAAGTTTGCTGTCAATATTTGTGGGTTAGGATGCATCCAGTGTCTTGAGGTTGTAATTTTCGTTATAAACTTCTGGATTGGTGGCTTTTATGTGGATCCAATCCATTTAATTTAGTATTTAATGGAGATATACTCATCATCTTGTGAACAACATTTTAGTTTTTTGATAGGTAATAATGTAATATCTATTTGCTCCATTATATTTGGGAATTGTGATCATTAACCTTCCTAGATTTTATGTTTTGCAGTTATCTGGTCTTCCTTGTTTTTCTTTAACTTTGTTTTTCTTCATATCTTCTAATGGGAACATCGAAATTGCTTTCTAATGACTTCTTGTACTGCATGGGGCTACAGTTCCACTTCATTTGCAGAGAGACTTGTTGCTTTTGCATGTGTTGAAGGGATATTTTTCTCTGGAAGGTAGTTGTCTCAAGAAAGAACAGCTTATAGGCCTTTCCTTGTCTCTTGATGTGAGTTATGATGTCCTACTTTCTGTGTAACTTCAATTGGGGTTTGCTTTCAGCTTCTGTGCCATATTCTGGCTTAAAAAGAGAGGATTGATGCCAGGTTTGACATTCTCAAATGAGTTAATCTCTAGAGATGAGGGCCTTCACTGTGATTTTGCTTGTCTTCTGTACAGGTAGTGTTCACTTTTTCTTTCATTATTCTAAATAGAATGGAAATGCAAGTTGTACTGGAATATGTTCTCACATTTGTTTTGGAGGATTGGTAATATTTTGGGGAGGAAATGATTAGTCAATGCATTGTTATTGCCTGCAGCTTGTTGCAGAAGCAGCTAAGTTCTGAGCGGGTTCACAAGCTGGTACATGAAGCTGTTGAAATTGAAACCGAGTTTGTCTGTGAAGCCCTCCCTTGTGCATTGATTGGCATGAACTCAACACTCATGAGTCAATACATAAAATTTGTTGCTGACAGGTTATTGGTATGACACTAAAATGTTTCATTTTACCTGGATTCTCTCCCTTTTTCCCTTCCCCTGAGGTTGGTTAACTGCTTCTCTTTTTACCTTTCAGGTTGCTTTAGGGTGTCAAAGAAAGTACAATGTGGAAAATCCATTTGATTGGATGGAGTTTATTTCTTTGCAGTGAGTATTTTATAGATATGGTTTATTCTATTATTTCTATATTATCTCGTGCGTAAAAAATATTGATTTTAATTGTCTAGTGCATTCCATGTTTATACCATTTTAGGACATGATCATATTTTAATCGCTGAACATGCACATGATGCCTATTATTGAGTTTTATTCTCATTTTACTAAATAAAACAAACCTGTTGATATGCTGGTATTGAAGGATTCTTTCTTACTTTTGAAACACGTCTTTGGGGGAAAAAATGTGCAGAAACTTCCCACTTTTCTTGGTTTCCTGTGTTAAATGCATGCCTTGTCCCTTGTTACTTAGTTTGACATGTTGATCTTAGTACAACTGTTGAATGAGCAGAGGAAAGGCAAACTTCTTTGAGAGAAGGGTGGGTGATTATCAAAAGGCATCTGTGATGTCAAGCCTCCAAGATGCTGGTAAAAACTTTGTTTTCAAACTTGATGAGGACTTCTAATTATGATTGATCTGCTACAGCTTCAACTATTCCAAAGATGTTGAGTTGTCCATAGAATTTATTTACTATTTTTCAGTAATATGTTTAGTCTATACAAATAAGTAGCTGGTATTTTCACTCATATCACTTGTATAATATGTTTCGATTTATTCTCCAATTGCATCTGTATTTTGTAATTGTAGCCATAACGGCAAGTTACTATATTTCAACCTTAAAAGGCACTCCGTATAATGCCTACACTATAATTTCTATATAACGTTTCTCTTGAAAAGGGTAGGAGATAGCATTGCCATTAATACTTAATTTGTTGGCTTCAATTTTCTTGCAAAGTAGAAAAGTACTGAAGCACTGCGCACCCGGATCATTTTACAAACTAATTTATATGTCATTTTATATTTATCAATTTATTTATTTATTAATTGAATGAACACTTTTTTTTTTAATTCAATCAAATAACTTATAAACTTTTCATATTTCAACCCCTAAGTTTTATTTTATAATCTTCCAACTAATATATAAGTTTTCAATTAACTTGTATATAAGTTAATTTTGTCATACTCTAAACAGAGGTTATCAACAACATATAAAGTAGGATTCTTTGGAGTCCAAAAAGTTAATGCATGTTTGAAATTATATTTTCTACTAAAAAAAATTATGTTAAATAGGTCTTTAATGTAAAAGTTACAACTAATTACTTCTATTTTGATGCAAAAATTAAGTTTGTGATGTGATATTAAACACTATCAAAGATTATTGTACTAAGAAAAGATGTCCTTTTGAGAAAAAAGAAGAGTAAGATCCTTAATATTTTACCACTTAAACAATAATAGAAGTCTATCAAAGGAATTATTTATAAGAATTTTTTTTTAACTTTACTAGGACTGTAAATATATATATATATATATATAAAAAAACCT